AAAAAAAAACATTTTCTTCATAAACCATTAAACCAGTTTGGTCAAAAAAAACTAACCTGATGGGCAATAAATTTGTTCACCCCCAACTTTTACTATGCTCGGGTCAGTATTAGCAATAGAAGTAAAGTATAGAAACATAAAAAATAAAATATGAAAGTGGGGCATGAGGACTGTTCTATGGTGTAAGCTGCAGAGTCACCGAATCTCGGTCGGGTGGTTACAATCAAATAGCAGGGTCAGCAACAATCTGTAAGAAATTTTAACCAGCCAAAATGCTTCTTTGTATTCAGTATCAGCTCTTTATTTATTGTCCCAATTGTTCACCCGAGATCGTCGGATAATTGTTTTTGCCCGAATCTGCAACACATTTCACTGCTGCCAGTTTTGTTCCATTTGGCTGTCAAACATTCGTTTACTTACTGCTGAATATTGTCGAACACAAGAAAAAAGTGCGTTTGAGTGTCGTTGTAGTACTCAGAATAACAAACTGATCCATTATTTTTGACATTTTTTCTCCTCCGTGCTAATTTTATTAATGAATGAGTTTTTTCTCCTCACCTCCTCCCACCACAAAAAAAAGCCGATGAAGCTGCTCTCCTTCATGGCACAAAAAAGTGTGGAATAAAAACGAGTGGGTATAGAGAAAAATTTTTCAATCGGAAACTGCCAACCAATTCTAATTTGGTATTCTTTTTTAAGTTTTATTTCTAAACTGGATCAACCGACGAAAATACATAACAGGCAAGATATCAACAAAGAATCACATTTGAAGGAGACTCGAAAACTATGGGTTGAACTAAATTAAACTGGGCTAAGCCAATTTCTACCAAATACAATTACAAAACGCTCATGAAATATTCAATGGGAAGACCGTTGCATGATAGAGAGGGAAGATTAAACTCTGGAATAAAAAAAAGGCTTGACTTTCAACAAGTATTTTATACAACATTTCTATTAAACCCTAAAGGGTAGCACTTTTTGTAGAGAAAAATTCAATAGTAACTGAACAGGTAGTGAATACTGTAAAAGATTTGATAAACTTATCAATTGAACAACATCAATCAATGCTCCTTAATCACCATTTTTACTGCAAACAAAAACAGCTGCTTATTAACTTTGTAATGTTCAGATAAAACAGATAAGAACCTGATTTTGATAACCACTGCTGCATGATTTTATGTAAGCTGCCAAGAGCAGCGTATAATTTTTAAAAAACCAACTATAGAAACGAAGCAACAACAAAAGCAAAAGAAAGAGGAAGCGGTTTCTAGAACTAGGCGATAAAAGTAAAATTAAGTGCAAGATTATAGAGCTTTATGAACTTTAGACTATACAGTCTCAAGAGCTTCTTATACGTGACTTTAAATTCAGTCACTGGTCAGTCATTTTTCTTTGTAATTTGTCTCATGACAAGCAGAGAAGCACAAAGCTACGCAGAAGTTACTGATAAAGTTCTTGTCATGTGAAGAACCTCTACGTGGAAAGAAAACAGTATTTGGAATAAATTTAAGTGAAAAAATTGTTTGCTGTCTATATCACTGCATAACTGCATCCGTACTGTTTAGTAAAAGTGACGATTGCAATGACGCGGTACAAAGTGTCTGTAATTTCCTTCTCTTGGAGACTTCGGTAACGGCAATTAGACAGATAATCGTGACAGATTACTTGTAAGTCTTTAGTCCAGAATATTGTACTAGAGGAAAAGGAACATGGTGTTTTGTCCACTATTAGTGCAAAAAAAAACCTTTTATTTTCAAAAATTTGTATTGGTTATATTTCCGTTTCAACAGTAATAGCAGACTACCGCTTAGAGATATTACGAAAATGACGGTGTCCAAAAGACTTCGTTACAACAAAAAAAAAAAAAAAAAATTATAACAAAAAACTCTTGTAAGAATTAGTATTTTTACAATAAACATCCCCACTTTAGCATCCCCACTTTAGTAGA